AAACAGCGATCAAACAATGGAGGACCAGAAAAGCACATTGGACCAGCAAACCCAAGGACAAACCAACTAGGACAGGGATTGGATGGCAAGAATCAAGTGCAGCAACTTTAGATGCTGCTTCATTGTCATTACCTTTATTTGCTGCGATTAATACACTTTCCAGGCATTGAGCTCTTGGAAGACTTTCTCAGGTAGATGTGCTTCTTGGCACCTATAGGTATTTTTTATTTTTTAGCTGCATATTGTGAGTTAGCTTGTGCGGCAAGCGGCCTCAAAATAGATCGTCACGTTTTCGATGCAACAGAACATCTGGTGCGCGTTGCAAGACATGAATCGAGGCTGCCAAAAGAGAATCAGCACTTGATGCAAATACGATGAAAGCAGCGCCTTTCCAGGTGAAAGCCTATCATCCCACGGATCGAATGGAAGTCGAATATCAAGCTGTGCCTGCAGTGATGCACATCCATCTAAAAGCCGTTGGGATATGACTACTGGACCGGATTCTTGTCGCTGCTACATTTGAGGGGCTGCTAGTGCTGGCCACTTGATGTGAGTGTGCAGCATATGCAGCATGTTCAATCATTCTCACCAATTTGAGCCACTTTAAGACTCACTAAGATGTAGACTTTGCTTGCAATGAGGGCTGGATCTCGCCGCCATACCTTGGAGACGTTGCGACAGAATGTCCAAAACAAATGGGAACTCCGAGCACTATATGGCAATGGCATGAACGCAACCGAGGCTCGGTGGCCCAAATGAGGGAGGAGAAGTCGTCATCTGAAAAACAAAGCAAACTCCCATACCTGTGGAACTATGTGGAACTGGACCCTTTGAACTTCAAGCCGATTGTAAAAAGTGTCAAGACATGAACAAACAATGCACACAAAGGCATTCAAATCGCACCCGCCGCGGTGGACATGCTGGGTCACATCAGCTGTTTCGATTTCTCCCAACTCACTCTTCGGATCTGCCAGGTAAGGTGTGACAAAAACGTCCCGGCGGGTTGGAACCGGAATGTGTGGCCCCGCTGGTTTTCACAACAGACCTCCTATCCTAAGAGAACAACACTCTGTGATTTTAGTGCTTTTTGTCGAACAAATACTCTATGAGCCTTGCAGTTTTTGCCAAAATCATCAACACATCATCAAAGATCCGTTAATCCGTTCCGGATTTTGGGGGTGGATGCGCAGCATTTTCACGACGCGATTTTGAGCAATGAAGACGGTGATGGAACTTCGTGCACATATACTTCGTTGCCGAAGTGTCAAGTATATATGAAACACATCAAATTCACGTAACTTGAACCTATGGACTTGTATACTCAGGGAAAATGACAATCCAGCTATCTTCAGAATAGCGGACTTTATCTTGAGCATAATGATGACCTAATACTTTGTCATCTCCAGGCATCTTCAAGATCACGCAGCAAGCATACCTAACAAAAAAAACAGGGTTGCATTTGCATTCTTATGACATGTGGTCCGTCGTACAAGTAAGTTCTATTGTTCCAGGGGCAGAGTGTCACCCCTCCCTCCAAAAAAGAAGAACATACATTCAAAACGTGATGAGCAGGTCTGAAAGGCCTAAATCATGAGGGAGTGCCGCTGAAGAGGTTCATTATTTTGCACTTCTTGGCCTGGGCACCCCCCATTTCATATCATCCCACTTTTCTTGACCACAGCGTAAAAGCGTTGAGTGCCGTCTTGCGAAGTGGAAGTTCTGTAAATTGCACGGAGTGGCGGATGTACGTTGAAGTTATTGCACCGCTTCGCGGCGAAGACCGCCCGTACGGATTCTTGTGCTCTCTGAGCTGGGAAAGAGCGATGCAAGGCTCAAAGGGTCAGAAGACTTTGTCAATGCGTCGCTCTATTACCCGACGTTGCGTCTTAGATATCGACTACGCTGGTACCTATCTTAGGCGTGTTGTACTCAATCAGCCTCAATAGGGAAATCCGCACGTACAAACACGCAGGCGCTTTCAACGATGCAATTCCATTCGGGCAGTATAAGTCAGATTAGCAATCATTTTTTCGTTTCTCTTTCGGGAAGGACACAGCGGCAAGCACATGCGATGACAATAATGCTTTCACTGGGGCAGCATAACCTACATCGCCAATGATTCGCTCCTTTTGGTCGGTTTCAAAAAACCATCAAAGACACATCATTTTAGAGCAAAAAACATCCCCCCAAACTAAAACTTAGTGAGCTATCTAGCAAATATAGCGGTTCGCGCCACCTGACACAACGCCTCAGCACCTTCGGCGCCGGCGGATTTCAAAGTGTTTCTTCATCGTCTGAATGCTCTCAGGCAGCATCGATAGAATCCATCTGCTTTGTCTTCGCTAAACCAACAAGGTGGCACGAATAGCCGGACGAACAGTGACCCCAAAATTTTTAAAAGAGTTGGTTCAGGTGAATAGTATTCAACGCTGAACGGCGAAATACGAAGAAACCACGAACAAAAACAAGAACAGAGTGTCCCGCACGCTGCTCCTCTCAAAAAACATCCTCTCAAAAAACACTGGCCATCCTCCAAAACCAGATGAGTGCGATCACAGACACTAATGAACCTTGAGCATCATTGTAGCAATGCCAACGTCAATACCGCCCCAAGATGATCAATACCACGGAAGTGTTTAGTTTTTATTCCGCAAACAGTTTACTGTTGGGCCTGGCCACACTGACTGGCCGCACCCCTGAACTCGGTGGCCGAGTGCTTAGAGTGCTGAGTGACATCCAGTCGGACGCCCGCGAAAGAAGAAGTTCGCGTAGGGGCCTGTCTCATACAGTTGATAGATGGGGCGCCCGAGACGCATTGGACATTGTTGTCAATTTTTCATGAATATGGTCAACAGCTGGAGAAGAGTGTGGCCGAACAAATAGCGATGTCGATGCCGACAAAAATTTTTGATGAAGCAGTGGGGGAAGGTAGGGCGTACCAAGAAATCGTTTTCCCCCAGCAGTTTACTGTTGGGGCTCCACCTTAGAAAAAGAGCTGGCCACACTGACTGGCCGCCTATGGGCTCTGTGGCCGCGCTCTGTGGCCGGGTCTTGTCCTCCTGTTGTCCTCCTCTTGTCCTTCTCTTGTCCTCACTGACCAGCCCTGGGGATCGTGATTGGCCGCGCCCCTGAACTCCGTGGCCGGGCTCTGTGACCGGGTCTTGTCCTCCTCTTGTCTTCTCTTGTCCTGCTCTTCCCGTGTCTTCTCTTGTGGCCGAACCATTAGCGATGTCGATGCAAACAAAAATAACTGATGATTAAGCAATTTGCTCTTGGGGGAAGGTAGGGCGTACCAACACATCGTTTTTGAATGATATTGGTCCCAACGAATCGTTCTGAAACTGTTTGGTGTCTATGCTGGTATAATTCCGAAAAGAGTTTAGTGTTACGGTTCTCTCTTAGGAGAAAAAGAGCTGGCCACACTGGCTGGCCGTGCCCCTGAACTCTGTGCCCGGGCTGAGGTGTCCAGGCCTTGTCGCCAACCCTGTGTCCTCCGCCTGTCCTCCTGCTGTCCTCTGTTGTCCTCCTCTTCTCTTCCTCACCGTTTTTCCCGGGTATGTTTTCATGTGGTTGTGAATGGGGACGGTGACACTGCGTTTGATAATTTCACTCATGACATATATGCCCCTTCGTATTTACACGTGCAACAACCTCAGAAATCAGGAACCATTGCATTGTTTTCTGACAGTTTTTTGTGTACCGTTCCCAAATGTTACGACAGACGCTGGAGCTCGAGGAGTTGACGCCAAAAATTGATGCTGAAACTGTTTGGGGTCTATGCAAAAATTATTTTGCTTCATTATATATTTGATATGCGCGTTTAAACATATTAATGTATATATATATATGCTGTATGTATTTTTTCGCCCAAACAGTTTACTGTTGGGGTTCCCTCTTAGCACAAAAGAGCTGGCCACACTGGCTGGACGCCAAAAATTACAGAAGGGGTGGCCATGGGGCCTGGGTTTTTGGTTTTCTGTATTTGTAGACAACTTTTCACAAACACAATCGAAACCACAAAAACAAATACAATCAAAACTACAAAAACATTGAATAATTTGCAGGTAAAAAACAAAAACTTGGAAAACCATACAAAAACAACAAAACCTTGGGAAACCCAATAACAACCTAGGAAACACCAAAAAAACAAAAAAACCTTGGGAGAACAAAAAACAAAAACACCAATTCTCAGAGACTCTTGGCTGGACCCAGAGGAAAGCTTTGACAATGCAAGCTCTTACCTGCAGAAATCAAGAAGAAAGCTTTTAACATACAAGGTTTCTATATAGTTGTTTAGATCTAAAAATGATTATCTGCAGAGATCTATAGAGAATCTTTTATAATTTATAACATAAAAGCGTGTATATACAATCTTTCCAAATCTAAACATAATTACAAGCAGAGATCTAGAGGACAATGGTTAAAATAACCACTTTTTATGGCCTGCTTCTTTCCTAATTATCTTGTTCAAAACCATCTGAATGACTGATTGCTGCTTCCAAAACAATAAAATTACCCTGAAACAATAAAATGACCCTGACTCAGGAATACATAATAAATTTGTTCATATAGAGAGAGCAGGAATATGTATGGAGAGGGGCTGCCACTGAAGCATTTACTTAAGATTTTGGGAAAACCAACACCCAGGCCCATGACCACCCGCCCTCCAAAAATTAACGCTGAAACTGTTTGGGGTCTATGCTGACATACTGTAATGTTTTCCACAACGCGCTGGAATGCCGAATTCCGCTTAAACATGCAACCCATATAAGATGGTGCAAGCGGAGACGTGAAGATCCAGAGATTGATCACAAGAAAAAACACCCCCGTCACAGCTTTTCCACACACAGTTTACTGTTGGGGTTCTATCTTGGGAGACTGGCCTGCCCCTGGACTCTGTGGCCGGGTCTTGTCCTCCTCTTGTCTTCTCCTGTCCTGCTCTTCTCTTGTCTTCTCTTGTGGCCGAACGATGAGTGATGTCGACGCCGACAAAAATCATTGATTTGCTCTTGGGGGGCGTGCCAAGAAAGCGTTTTTCCCCAAACAGTTTACTGTTAGGGGTTCTCAATTCTTTCTTAAGGCGCGTCTGCCCTTTGTGTCGCTGCTGGTGTCCGCCTTGTTCCGCTGGCCATGTAGCATTTCTATTCACTTGTCTCCCAGGTCTGTCGCTGCTGGTGTCCGCCCTTTTCCGCTGGCGACGCAGCGTTTCTTTTCATTTGTCTCCCAGGTCTGTCACTGCTGGTGTCCGCCCTTTTCCGCTGGCCCTGCAGCATTTCTATTCATGTGTCTCCCAGGTCTGTCACTGGTGGTGTCCGCCCGTGTCCGCCGTGCCCCTGAACTCTGTGGTCCTTGTCCTTCTCTCTCCTCTAGCCCTCCTCTTGTTCTGCTGTTGTCCTCTGGCCGCGCTGGCCAGGCTGGCCAGCGCGGCCAAAGGACAACAGCAGAACAAGAGGAGGGCACAGGGTTGGCCAGCGCGGCCACAAGACAACAGGAAGACAAGAGGAGGACAAGAGAAGGACTGGAGGAGGACAGGAGGACAGGGTTGGACAACAGGAGGACGAGAAAAGGACAAGAGAGGACACAGGGTTGACCAGCGCAGCCAGAGGACAACAGCAGGACAAGAGGGTTGGCCCGGCCAGAGGACAACAGCAGGAAAAGAGGACACTGGAGCTCGAGGAGTTGACGCCAAAAATTAATACTGAAACTGTTCGGGGTTTACGCTGACGTTTGCCTCCTGAGAATTCTAAGACGCTGCCGCGAAGATATGCCAAGGGTGTTGCTGTCTTGAGCATATGCGCGCCTACACGTTCTTTCAACCTGTAGGCAAACTCATGCAAATCATAGAACGTAGTTTGCGCATTGCTCTTGGCAGTCGCGTTAAGTCACGCGCGCTCGCTTTAAGCCACCCATCACACTTGCACGAAATCACGCACGTGGGCAAGAAGTCACTCATTGCGGAACAGGATCTCCAACTGACTACAGCACTTTGCGCAAACAACTTCATTCCGCTTCATAAATGTGTGGACACCGTGGCGAGACTTAAGAACACCATGGGGCACCAGACCGACTTGCAATACAACACCATCGGACACCAACATTTTGAGCGTACTGTCTCAACTGACCTAAACCGAAACACCATGGGATGGGACACTTACCCGGCGCATGACATGTCCTTCTACCTTGAGAGGAGAAAGTGGCCACCTTCAGCGCGTGCTTGAAGTAAAACAACCAACGTGCAGAACAACACAGGTCCCACTACACTGGCAATCAAGCAGAACCATGTCATTGTCGTAGATTAAATCCATACGCAACTCAACGCATGTACCAATGGCCGTCCTCCTCTTGCCGAAGCTCAATGCGGTATACGAGCCCTCGGTTGCGCTAGAGTGACACTCTCATGAGTCATTGCGTGTTCTGAATCAAAAGGATCTGGCCTTCCCAAGTGCTCAGCACTCCCACAACCTGCGCGCTGTTGAGAAATGAACGCGCCAAAATACCAAGTGCCAGAAGTATGAGAAAGCAAACAATCATCGAAAAAGACTGCACACTTGAGCCAAACAAACGAACATGATACTTCAAGACCTTGTTGTTGACTCATGCTTAACTTGTTGGAGGCCTTGACGCCGGTGTAGACATGGAGATCCTAGCAAGATGGCCCCAACAAATATCCCACAAGAGACCCCAAAGAGTGTTGCGCAGAAGGAAACAAGGGCGAATCAACCAATTACCGCGCCCTAGAGCACACACATGAGAGCCCACGCATAAAAACACACATAGGAGAGCACACGCGTGAAACCACACAGATGAGCGCGCACATATATGTAAGCCGCATGGGAGCACGGGCGGGGGATCCAATAACTATTGCATCAAAAACGCATAAATTGACGGGGATTAAAAAGAAGGGGATCAAACATTTTTCCTAGTGAGCAACGAAAGGAACAAGCATCAGGCAGTCTCCCGCAAAGCGAAAAGAGAAAACAGAGAAACAAAAGAGAGCGGAAGGGTAGAATCGAAAAATTGTTGCCTACCGCCATCATTTCCATCAACTCCGACAGGGGATCAACTGCCAGTGCATTGTCATTCAAGGCGATATTCTACCAATCATCAATTATCTCCAACACCGGGTCCACTTTCTGGCCATGCTGTTAGCACATTTGCATCCGGGTGAAGATGACGTGGTCCCGGGGCTTGATTAATGATAGGCAAATTGGCCTTCCTGTCCCAATAGGACTGACGGATAACATACAGTTTGACGCAGAACAAACAGGCCCAGTGGCACAGCGCGTGGTCGGGAGGCGCCAAACTATCCTTGGTGTCTTCTGCCGGTCAGATTTCTTTTCTGTTGTTCATTCATCCATTACCTAGCTGTACGCCGCAGCTCAACTAGCTGTATTACCTACTGGGCCTGAATCTGGGCAATTTTGCCTGTTAGCGTGACCCATCGTCACTGCGAAGTCCCATTCCACACTATTGGCCCCCACACAGTGCTCAAGGTCCTTCAAGGTCTGTTTTGTTTTAGGTTTTCTGCGCAACTGACTTGATCAACTCATGCTGAGCAAGACCCTTCACAGCATGGGTGGTTGTCTGCGTGCCGCCTGCCAAGTTTGTTCTAGGCCTTTACCGGACCGCCTTAGCGAAGCCGGCGCTGGTCAGGTCAGTGCAAAGACCCAAGCAAGTGGTCGCTGGTCTGTCCCTACCTCCGACTTGTCTGCTGAGGTTTTGATTCCGTGGTGTCCCCTGCGCGCTGTCGATTCGTCTTAGTGCGCGGACATGTCACAGGTCAATCGGTTTGCTGCTCTGACCGAGCCGGATGAGCCGACCCAGAATGCTTTGGATATTGAGCCTGACCTTCCTGACACTAGCGTGACATGTTTCTCAGCTCACCCCACGCAGTGGCTAACAGACAGTGAAACGCGACTGTTCCGCTGTGATGCAGAGAATGACCCATCCGCTAAAGATGAGGCGTGCGCAGCATTCCAGCGCAGTGACTCCGTCCGATCGTTTCTTGGCCTTGATGCACCCCAGGCACCGCTGGTGTATGCTGATGTGAGAGCAAAGCCAACCGACGCAGATCCAGGCTACGCCACCACTGCTTGTCAGGGTGGACAACCAAACCTGGCTAAGGTAGTGGCTACGCTGCTCACCCGAGCTGAGCTCATTCGAAACTGCCAAACACTGTACCTCATTGTGGACAACCGGCCACCTTCGAAAGTCTTGTATTGGCCTGCCTTTTCTGAGTGGTGGGCCTCACGGCGGCAGCTCAGCTAGTAGGCCCTGCGGCGGAAACAACCGATGTACTTTGGATTGAAGCCAACTTGGACAGTGGTCTTTCGAGCGTGCCCTATTTCTGGGCAGGTGTCTATGTCCTTGAGACTGCTAGGTTTCTGTTTCCAACCCAGCATTTTTGTCTAGTGGACAATGATTGCGTACCAGTCACGCTCTTCGAAGTGCCAGATTTGGTTCGACTTGCTGAAGGGCAATATTGGTCGGATGTCATGGGGCACAGTCGCCCCCACCAAACTGACTCCAAAGTAGGCATGATTCTGTTTACTGAAGCGCATCATGAATACAATGCCGGTCTAGTGGTGTCCACAGGGCAGCCCCTTACAGTTGACCCACTGCAACAAACACAGGACCCCGTTACATTAGCAGGCCAAGTGATGGACTCTAGACAAGCCCTACTTGCAAAGGCAGAGCCTAGTAACCCTAGTTGAGCGGCGCGCATCGTCGTTGGACCTGTGCCACGCATGGGCTATCTTGGGCGACTTCACGTGTTCCGAATTCTGGCCGAGCCCTGCTGCAGCTCATGGCCTCGACCGTCCGATCAAATGGCCAAGGCAGTCCCACCCGCAGGCGCTCACAAAGGCTGGAAAAAACCGGACGCCCTGGGTTACCACGTGGGCCAGAGCCACCTTTGAACAAGGTTGTCTCGTCGCGCTGCCGCAACTTCCAGGTCCGTGTTGGGCTGCCTCACTGCCAGGTCAGCACTTGTTTCAAGCCAGCCAGGTAAGCACTGAGCGTATGCGACCAGCAATCTTTCATGCGTTCGGCAAAGCGAAGCTGGGATCGGGAGACACCGTTACCTCTCTAAGCAAACTCTTCCTGCTGCCCTCATAGGCATGCCCCATGCTCGAGCAGCATGGAGCCCTTGGACATAGTAACGGTTTGCCCTCTCATCCACCAGGGGACAGTTGAAAGATATTTGCAACAACATAGCCGAAAGGACTTGGGCGAGGGCATGAGATACTTGGCGTGGGAATGTGACGGGTGACCATTAAAGAGTCTGTCGTGGCAGGCGCCGTGCATTGGCAAAAGTAGTGCAACTTTCGTTTCGGTAGAGGGGCCTGGGGCGAAGGGCGCAGCGCCTCACCCTGAGCGAACCAAAGTCAAAAGCCACTGGATTCAGAAGGTACATCAACATCGAAAACTACATGCCCCGTTGCCCCACCAAAGAAGGTCTATCTGTCTGTCTATCTACCTATCTATCTATATCTATTTTTTATTTATCTGGTCTTTTTTTTTTCTCTCTCTCTCTCTCTCTGTCTCTCAGTCTGTCTGTCTGTCTCTGTCTGTCTCTGTCTGTCTCTGTCTGTCTGTGTCTGTGTCTGTCTGTCTCTGTGTGTCTCTGTCTCTCTCTGTCTCTGTGTGTCTGTCTGTCTGTCCGTCCGTCCGTCCGTCTGTCTGTCTATCTGTCTGTCTGTCGTCTATCGATGGATCTCTCTACCTATCTATCTATCTATCCATCTACCTATCTGTCCACCCACCCACCCGTCTATCAATCAATCAATCAATCAATCTATCTATCGTTCGATCGTTCGTTCTTTCTTTCTTCCTCTCTGTCTGCCTGTCCGTCTGTCTTTATCCATTTCTTTCATGTTTATTTCTTTCCTTTTCTTTTCATTTCATTTTTTTCTTACTTTCGTTCTCTCTCTCTCTCTCTATCTCTCTCTCCCTCTCGTTCTTTTTGCTAATATTCTCTTGCTTTCTTAGGCTGGGGGTGGCGCCGACAAGTCAAAACGCAACCCTCGCGCGAATGTTAAGCGTCAAAAACTGAGGGAATATTGCAATGTCACTTGGTCTGCGGCAACCCTGTCGCTCGAAATGCACGTCCAGTCTCAAGAACTGCGCGCGTATTACGATTTTGACGTTTCCGCGGCAACCCTGTCGCACGAAATGAAAGTCGAGTGTCAAGAACGGAATGGAATATTGCGCTCTGCGGCAACCTTCTCGCGCGAAATTCCAAGGATCAAAAGCTGCGGGAATGATTTTGGTGTTTCTGCGGCAACCCTCTCGCGCGAAACGAGGGTCAAAAGTAAAAAGCGTGGGGAATATTGTGGCTTTGCTGCGACCGCTGCAAAACTGCATGTGACTTGCCAAAATGCAACGAGGTATGACGCAATGTTTCACCATTCTTGCAGATTATTAGATTAGTAGAGCCTGGGCCTGGGCCTCCACAATCTTTTGCGCTGCGGTGGGAGGTTCGGACACGATGCCACAGCTAGCGTCCAAGGATCAGCGCTGCGCGGACCCCGCGCAAACCTGCATAAACATCGCGTTGGAGACATCTTTGGGGCGGGCAGGACCTGAATGCGTGCATTTTATTGCAAAACGCGCGCAAACCTCTCGAAACGTCAACTGGAAGACATCTTTGGGGCAGGGCTTGAGCTCAAACATTTTATTGCAAAAGCGCACGCAAACCTGCATGAGCATCAACTGGAAGACATCTTTGCTTCCCTGCTCCTGTGAACACAATGTTCATTTCATCCTTTTCTCACCCTCTCTTTCTTCACTTTCTCCCTTACCATTTCACAACTCCCTTTACTTTACCGTTTCATCGTACTGCAAGCGTAGCCTACACCAGAGTAACTCTACATCCAAAAACGCTCTCGGGCCATCTGCCGTGTATTTTGATCAATGGACCAACAGAATCGGGGGCAAGAGGACTAGGGGACCAGGAGAGCAAAGGCCTAGGGAACCTACCCAGGACTTTTTGGAGCCCTGTTCTTATTCTTTTTGATCCTGTTCTTTTTTGAGGTAGATGCAGCAGGCACAGGAGATCAAACATATACAGTATATACATATATATATATATACACATGTGTGTGTGAGCAAGCGCATGAAAGCACACATCTGACAGCACACAGCGTATTGAAGCAAACCCATGAGAGCACATAATGAAAGCATCAGATCACACCTGTGGCTGCCGGGACATCTGGACTTCCGGGTTCACAAAGCACTAGGCCTGCCATGAAATCTGCACTTCGAGGTTCACAAAACGCTGCGCCTGCCACGAAATCTGCATTTCGAGGCTCACAAAACGCTGCGCCTGCCACGAAATCTGCATTTCGAGGCTCACAAAACGCTGCGCCTGCCACGAAATCTGC